TCTGTAAAGTAAAGGAAAATCCCAGCGGTTCTCCGTCACAACTGGTTCTTAATCAGACAATGAAGCAGCCAAATGAAAACCTAGAAAAAGTAACCGAGTGTCTCAGCTCACCCTGTCAGTCAGAGCCGAGGGTTTTTTTGTTCCCAAACGTCCTTAACTCACAGAGCCGCCTGGTTTCACCCTGACAGAAAACCAAACCGAAACAAGGAGGGTCCTGATAAGGTGACAGCTGATTGGATGGTCAGCTGATTATCTCTGCTTCTTCAAATCCAAACAGGAAGTTTTCATCAACCTTCAAGTTATCCTGTTTAAATAAGCTGCTCCCAAAACCACAGATCAGTGTTTGATTAAAAAAAAACAAAATCAAATGAGGATCGACAGATAAAACTAGACTTAATCAGATCTGGTCCTTAAAAAGAAAAGAATTAAAATCTGATCAGGATGAATCTGTCGCCACTTTGGGCTCAGCAGGAGGCTCAGATATACAGGTTCTCACTCGTCTTGAGGCCTCTGCTACTCCACTTCGTTGTGCGTGTCTTTTTTCTCCTTCCTGATGACCGGCAGAGGGTGGGCCTCGGTGTTGAAGACCCAGTGCTCAAAGGGTAGGTGGTCGTCATCAGAGAAGAGCAGGTAGAGATACCTTCAGGGTGCAGAAAACAAGGCGTGAAAGGAATGAAAAACAGAAACATGTCAAACTCAATTTTAATGTAGCGAAGTTTCATTGAATTTTCAGCTCATTAGAAAATAACTCAAAAGATAAAAAACAACCCTGCAAGAAATAATTCTGTTTTTATACTCCAAGGGCTTCCTTTACACAATGATTTATTTAATCCACTTTATTTATACAGTTCCAAATCACAACATGTTATCTCAAGGCACTTTAGAGACAATTTATAAGGTTTGATCCCTTTGATCTAAGCACATGATAAGCTTTTAATAACAATTATTGGTTTTATCTTATAAAAGCCAGTGTTTCCGTTAGTAGTTAATCAATTTATCAAAGGTTTAGTCTGCCTCTGGATCGCAGTAGACAATAGATCTAAAACCATACAGCATGGCTGGATGTATAAAAAACGAAGAGTGCATCTAGTTTAATAATTTCTTTCCATTTCTGCGCTATAAAAATATACCGTAGCTTCAGATAATGGAAATCTTTTAAACTTAATGAATACGTGGATCTAAAACCTTGTCATGCCTTAAGCCATGGTATTAATTGTGGAGATTGGGGACAATGCTGGTCGTCTTTGAAAAGCTGAGCTTCACCCCTGAAAAACACTCAGACAGAAGACAGGAAAATGCCTCCCCTGCTGCGCTCCAGGCGGTGTTCAAACACCTGTGGATCCAAGAGGGGATCCCACTTTAGCTGCTTTTCTTTGCCATCAGACCAAATGGAAAAACTCAGAATAATTCACTAAATGAGTTACTTAAAGGTAAGCCGATAACAGGATCTACAGGTCTAATTGGGTAAATCATAAAGTCCTGATTCGACATTAAAAGCTTAAACAGGAGATTAATGGTGATGGATTCTGAGTTTTGTGTTTTGTTCTCCTCGATGAAAAGCAGCTGAACAAACGACAAAGCAGCGGCTGAATTTGCTTCCTCTTTGCAGAGAGCGGTAAGTGATGGAGAGCGGACGGCAGGGTGAAGTATGGCCGTGTCCTCGGCAGCAGGAGTGAGATGAATATCAGAAGCGGCTCTGCAGTAGGGGTGTACATCACCCCCATCATGGCGATTCGATTCAGTATCGATTTCCTGACCCAACGATTCGATTATTTTCGATACTCAAGAATACACCACGATATGATTCAATTCGATTAATTGTTTTTTTTTTTTTTTCCCCACACCTTACAGGCTAGACAATGTTTCAAATTTGAAATAAATCAGTGAAAGCTATAATATTGTTATGCATTTTCTTTTTTAGAAACAACAGAAAATAACAGAAGCAAAAAAGTTGCACTCCACCTAATCCTATTAAAACCTCATTCACTGAAAAATAATAAAAAATCCCTGCGTTATAGATTCTGAAAGGTCTTGCATCAAAAAATACTGCACTAAATCAGTGCAATGAGTGCAATGCAATACCTCTGCTGCAGACGTCCCGCCCCCTCCACAGATGCTCCGCTGCACCTCTCCCAAATTGTAGCTATCCGCAGACAGGAGGTCGGCTTGTTTTGTTTTTATGACCGAAATTGCGGAAAACAACTCGTGAAGTTTGACCCGCTAGAAGAGCGAGGTGCGCGAGAACGCTGGGACCTTTTTTCCACCTGGATCTCCGCTCTTTTTGGCCCTCATGTCCCTCCGTCGTCNTTCAGTGGCCCTACAGTAATCCTCTTCCGTAGCTTTGTGTGTAAAACATTAATGGGAAAAAACCAAAAAACAATTAGCACAAAAGTTAAAACACACCAAGGAAAATGCAGCATTTAGTAAAAGATGTTTTATTCACAATAGAAGTGTAACAAATATAGTTTATTAAAAAGTCTGCTCCTCAATATTATCATTTTATTTCATAAGTTCAGAAGAATCTTTATATAAATCCCAAACGGCTCATTTGCCGTGATGCAATATTTACATTTGATATCAACAATAATTTTATTTAACACAACAAATTAAATTTCCCCACAAAATCAAAACACTGCGTACAAATGTAAAATAATCTATGTGCAAGGGAATGATTGAGCCAGAGGATACTTTGTTTTTTTTTTTTACATTTCTGAGGCTGTTTTCATACAGTTGAAGCTCCAAAATGTTTGGATGATTAGAGGTTGATATAGGAGTCGATGTCGCTGTGAGTCAGATGCCTAAATGAGCGAGATCCTCCTTTATTACCACTGACAGAAAGGCAACGATGCACAACACAATAGCCAGAAAAATCACCAAACAGTCCAAACATTTTAGAGGATTAAATAACTAAAGTCTGACTGTGAGGAATCCAAATACATTCAACATTTTCTCCAGACGAATGCTGCGGGAGACAAAAGAAATGCTGCAGATCAGCCCTTTAAAGCATAAAAAAACCCTTAATAATTCTCTAAAGCATCATCTGAAAACAGATTAACCGGGAATCTGAACAGCTAATCGAATATTTCCTGCAAAGAGAACAATGACATAAAACATCTGAATTAATAAATCCTTAAAGCAGCAGTACCTCAGTGCCAGGAAGGTTAATAAACATGAAAATGTCTTAAATCCAAACTCCTGCTTAATAGAATCAAATTCATTTAGTTGAATTTTGTCTAAAATCAAACATTGTTACTTTGTTTGGACAAGAATCTGATATGAAAAAAAATAATAATTCTCAGTGTCATCATGGTAAAATCAGAAACATGAAAATGCTGCTTTAGGAAAGTAAATTTTATTTATTCACTATAGGTGTAAAGCCATAAATTAATTCACTGGTTCTTGTTGAACTGAAGCTGAAAAACTCCTGCTGAAGTTGTGGAATTTGGTTTTGCTCTTCCATCCTCAGGGCGTCTCATTCGCCAGTTTTTACATCTCTGTTAAATGTTGCTCTGCAGCCTTTTGTGCTTTTTAAGACACACAAATACGCAAAATACAAGAAAAGAACTTCACATTTGATGGTACATTCATTCATCCCTGTCCTGCGTCTAATTATTTATAATCTTTCTGTTGCTTAAAGATGAGAAAAATAACCATTTTATTCATTTTTTTGGCAGATTACTGAGTAACTTTTTGTTATTTCTGCATCCAAGTTTATTTCTTTCCTTCAGCGCCCCCTTGAGGTTGGCTGCCAGTACCAGCATGCTCTATGATTTCTAGGTTATTAGCACAATCAGCCGCTAACAGTTTCACAGAGACGCAATTTCAAATACAGGAAAACATCACAGATCAGAGAACTCAGACAAGAAATAAGGCAAAAATAAATTGCAGTCAAATTTGAGATAATTTAATACAAAATCTTAACAACAAAACTTTCCCTGAAGGAGGAAATTAAAGCTAATTAATCTGATGAGAAAACAAAAAAGATTTGATCCCAAAACTTTGGAAAAACGGATCAGATTCCCCCTCAGAGGAGAAGAAAAGAAATCCCCAATGAGCTTTAAAAATAATCATATAAACATGTTTGATTAAGTCGCTTCGATTTCATTTGTTTTTCTTTTTTAAAGAATAAAATCAATAATCATTTTTTCTTCAGTTTTCCACCACATTTTGTCTCCTTTCATTTTTTTTCTTTTGAGCAGAGCTTTTTCAAACCTCTTAGATAATCCATGCAGTTTTTTTTTTAACAACCTGCCATCTGCTGCTTACTGATGAATATGATCCGCTGCCACAAACATTATCATTTGGCCAGATGAGAGAAAAAGATCTGCACGCCTTGCACATTGTGATTAGTAATGACTTTATAATGCAGCTAATTTCACAGTCTGCAACCGTTTCAGGAAGCGCAGTCGCAGTCTGATGCCACTAGATGTCAGTGTAGTCCAGGAAAACAGACTCTAGGCTCGGATTGATTTTCCTCAGAAAGGGGAAATAATGTTTTTAACTCATGTCTAGTTTTAGTTAAGTCTCCCTAAAAGGGACGGGTAGAAACTTAAAGCTGGAAGTTTTTTTCTTCCATAAATCCTTTATGTGTCTATAAACTGCTCCCCTGTCAGACTCCTCTGTTTTTAACAGTGAAGGCACTAGATTAAACACTAAATCGCATACACCTCTGGGGTAAAATAGGGAAAGATTAGCAACGTTAATGACTGAGAAAACGACGTACTGTGGTGGAAAAGGTTTGATATGTCAGTATGTCTGTGAAGGTGGAGCATCTAGAGCAAAGTCCTCACAAAGGAGACAAGATCCTGCCTGACTGATTAAAACAGGAAGAAAAAAAGAAGAGGAGAAAGTTTATCTGAGCTTTCTGTTAGGGTAAAGTTTATATCCACTCATCAATGGCATCAAGGTCACATCCATTTTAATAGATCATTTAAATTGGTGTTTTTCAGAAATCATTATAAACCATCTAAATCTAATGATTTTTTTTAAAGCAAAGCCACATGGGCTCAAAATATATTCATATACCGGTTTAACTGCAATCTTTAAAGGTCTGCATTCTAAAAGTAGTTTAGAATCTGGTTCTGGACCATTCTCCTGTTGGGAAACCAGACTGTGTCCAAGTTTCAACCATCTGACCCAAACTGTCTCCCTCTGGTGTTCAGAACTTTTTAGCACCAACCCAGAACCCTTCAAGCCTTCTGGGCTGAGCTTAACTTCAGCGATGAGGATGAGGCTACAGCGCAGGAAAGAAGTCCGGATAGACTGAGATGGCAAAAGTTTAAATAAAAACAAACAACTGTCCGGCACAGTGGTGGTAGCATCATGCACTGTTAGTTAAAAAAATGCAGGTGAAGGAAGGCTGTTTTTATGTATTTAGACTTAGCCTAACTTGGACATATTAAGGCTTTTCTACAGAAGATTTCAGACAATTTTTAAGAAAAGATGAAAAATTGAGGTTTCAAAAAGCCCAGGTTTTCCATCCAATCAGGTTTGACTTTCCTGTTGAAATCTACAGTCAATACAACTTTAAAGCAGCAGAGTGAGAGCTACGATTCTGGGTTTAAAGGTTTGGTTTTATTCATGAAGATGATCTAATGATTTTAAACTGTAATGATAGCTGATATTAGATATGATTTCCCAATAATAGATCAATTTCCCTGCCTGTTTTGACACTGAATAAAACAAATACACAGCTATTTATTCCTGCAGACATTTTCTTTGCTGAAAAATCTGAACCAAATAAATATTTGATTTACTCCACAGACCAATTTTAATCCAGTTTAAGATTCAAGTCTGACTTCATGAAAACCCAAGTATAAATCGGTTTTTACAGGAAAGTAAATGCTAAAAAAAAAAAAAAAAATCGGTCAAACTAATGGAAATCTGAGATGAAGGAATAATCCAAAAGCCGGTGAAAGATACTGAAGAAAAGCTGCAGAAGAAGAACGGTGAGACAGCTGGGAGGTAGGATGGAGGCGTGATTGGTAGCAGAGCACAGAGCAGTCAGAAACAGATGTTCCCATCTGTAAAGTAAAGGAAAATCCCAGCGGTTCTCCGTCACAACTGGTTCTTAATCAGACAATGAAGCAGCCAAATGAAAACCTAGAAAAAGTAACCGAGTGTCTCAGCTCACCCTGTCAGTCAGAGCCGAGGGTTTTTTTGTTCCCAAACGTCCTTAACTCACAGAGCCGCCTGGTTTCACCCTGACAGAAAACCAAACCGAAACAAGGAGGGTCCTGATAATAAGGTGACAGCTGATTGGATGGTCAGCTGATTATCTCTGCTTCTTCAAATCCAAACAGGAAGTTTTCATCAACCTTCAAGTTATCCTGTTTAAATAAGCTGCTCCCAAAACCACAGATCAGTGTTTGATAAAAAAAAAACTAAATCAAATGAGGATCGACAGATAAAACTAGACTTAATCAGATCTGGTCCTTAAAAAGAAAAGAATTAAAATCTGATCAGGATGAATCTGTCGCCACTTTGGGCTCAGCAGGAGGCTCAGATATACAGGTTCTCACTCGTCTTGAGGCCTCTGCTACTCCACTTCGTTGTGCGTGTCTTTTTTCTCCTTCCTGATGACCGGCAGAGGGTGGGCCTCGGTGTTGAAGACCCAGTGCTCGAAGGGTAGGTGGTCGTCATCAGAGAAGAGCAGGTAGAGATACCTTCAGGGCGCAGAAAACAAGGCGTGAAAGGAATGAAAAACAGAAACATGTCAAACTCAATTTTAATGTAGCGAAGTTTCATTGAATTTTCAGCTCATTAGAAAATAACTCAAAAGATAAAAAACAACCCTGCAAGAAATAATTCTGTTTTTATACTCCAAGGGCTTCCTTTACACAATGATTTATTTAATCCACTTTATTTATACAGTTCCAAATCACAACATGTTATCTCAAGGCACTTTAGAGACAATTTATAAGGTTTGATCCCTTTGATCTAAGCACATGATAAGCTTTTAATAACAATTATTGGTTTTATCTTATAAAAGCCAGTGTTTCCGTTAGTAGTTAATCAATTTATCAAAGGTTTAGTCTGCCTCTGGATCGCAGTAGACAATAGATCTAAAACCATACAGCATGGCTGGATGTATAAAAAACGAAGAGTGCATCTAGTTTAATAATTTCTTTCCATTTCTGCGCTATAAAAATATACCGTAGCTTCAGATAATGGAAATCTTTTAAACTTAATGAATACGTGGATCTAAAACCTTGTCATGCCTTAAGCCGTGGTATTAATTGTGGAGATTGGGGGCCATGCTGGTCGTCTTTGAAAAGTTGAGCTTCACCCCTGAAAAACACTCAGAGACAGAAGACAGGAAAATGTGATGCCTCCCCTGCTGCGCTCCCGGCGCAGTTCAAACACCTGTGGATCCAAGAGGGGATCCCACTTTAGCTGCTTTTCTTTGCCATCAGACCAAATGAACAAACTCAGAATAATTCACTAATAATTCACCAGGATCCCAGAGAAACATTACCGCTTTGGACTTCATGGACCTGTTGCTAAATGGAAACCATGTCTTCAACCTCTACTCAGACATACAGTAGAGTCTGACTAATTAAGGGAAACAACGTTCTGAATGTTACATTTGGTTTAAATTGAAGTTTACACAGTGGAAAGATTCTCCTTTCTTTTTTTTTCTTCACAAGGAAAGATTTATTGATAAAAAAAGTTCCACAACTCACTGCTAAACCAAATCCCAACATCTCTTATGCTCTGCCTTCCTCAGAGGTGAAGACAATCCCTTTGGTCCCCGGTCTGTTTGGCTAACCTCCACTTTTTTGCAGAAGCCGTCTGGAGTATATGCATAAAAAAAAGGAGGAAGGAGGGAGCAGCTAGGAGCGGCTCTGATGGCTTCAATAGAATTAAAGGAAACTGGGTCATAAATTTGCAGAAAGCTCTTGAAAAAAATGAGACGTTGGAACTGAACCGATGCAGTCATTGATTGAGCTCATCACGGTGGAAAAATCTACCCTGCTGCAGCCAATTTAAGCTGATTTATAGCGTCCTCCGCTTCCATTGGTGCCCCTGGCAAACACGCAGAAGGAGCCTAAATAAATCCACATTTTACTGCCATAACCTCGTATTTAAAAAGGAGTAAATGAAGCTTTAATGTGAGATTTCACAAACAGATGAGCTGAAGATGACCCATGTTTCAGATCAAATATCCAGCTAAAACACCCAGTTTTATCAAACATGTCTGGGGAGAGCAGGCCCACAGCATTACAGATCCTCTGCCTTACCTAACAATGGTGCTTCTTCACTGAATTTTCTAGTTGTGCATTTTTTTAACCCCTGATCATTGTCCTCGCTGCGTGTCCAGCCTTATTAATGACAGTTCAAATCATTTCACTGAAGGTAAGCGGTACGCTTTTGTTTCTCATCACTCATCCTTCTCATGAGGAGAAATTATTCCAGTACGTTCCTGAAACTTTCTTTAGAGTTTGTGGATCTTAGAGTCATTCCTGGTTCTCCCTTAGTGGAGGCTGCCAGTAAACGGTGATGTGATACGGGTGCAGAGCGCTGCCTGATCAGAGGATCTAATCTCCTCAATGAAAAACCGTTTCTGCATCTGCTCTTAACTTCCGCGCTCACTTGTTGTCTGATGGTAGACAGAGTGTGGAAATCTGTGGGGTTTATAAATCTGCAGCCAAAGGCGGAAAACAAACAAAGACAGGCGTTCCCAGAAGTCAATGTACGGGTTCTTTTCTTCTGTTTCGCTTCCACTACTTATTATTGGCAGAGACTTTATGCCATCAGAATTTAGCAGCTTATGCTTTGCAGGTTTGTAAATATATCCATCCCACACTGTGGCTCACCAGCTGACAGCAGCAGAGATTGAAAACTGACGCCTGGGTTTGAGAAGCTCTACAGCCGTCGCACTCCTCTAGTTTAACTTTGCTCCTACTACCACCAGAGGTGTCAAGTAACAAAGTACAAACACCGTACTCAAGTACGCTTTTTAGGTATCTATACTTTACTCCATTACTTATTTTTCTTCCTACTTCTGACTTCTACTCATTATAATTTCACACAAGTATCTGTACATTCTATTCCTTACATTTTTAAAACAAATGTTACTTGCTTCTCTTGGCTTCGGTTTTATGTTTATAAATATTTATATAACGTCATGTGCGCCATCCAATGCAGGTCATTGGCTCCATCCACATCTAGTGAAAACTAGTGTTGGATGAGTCGTATAACACAAACACTCATTGCTTAGCTAAAGGAAATCATCAGAAGCAAGCAGGTGTTCTTCAAACTGCTAACGTGAATTGTCTATGCCATGCTACAATGATGGATTCAGAAAAAGATGTTGAAATATCTGAAAGGTCGGATACAGGCGAGAGCGTATCGGGAGACGGAGACCAACAAGACCTCCCTCATCCTTGACCCTATCTCAAAGAATTTTTCTAAATACTTGTAAAATTAAGCTTTCAGTTCATATAATGGCTTTTGGCTGTTTTTTTAATAGGTTACTTTATACTTTTATAGCTTTTGGAGCACATACTTTTTCACTTTTACTTGAGTAAAGAGGTCAAGTTGATACTTCATATTCTTCCAGAGTGTTTTTAAACTGCAGTATCTATACTTCTACTTAAGTAACAAATGTGTGTACTTGACACCACTGTCTGTCACTACTGATAAAAAATATAAAAATATCTCATCTATTCCCCTCAAAATACCTCAAAGTTTGTAGCTGTAAATGTAGCAAAATGGGAAAGAGTTAAAGTTATTATTACAGTCGTCTACCAAGTCTCTCTGTGCATGAAATAACCTTGCCTCAAACCTATAAGCCTCTCCATGACGCTGAGCTGCGGTGAATGACAGCTTCAGCTCGTGTGCCAGAGACAGTTGACACCTCTGTCAGCTTAGGCCCGCAGGGTCCCAGACCCTCAGTGAGGCTCAATGACAACGACAATCACAGGAGGACAGAAGTGGAGGCTGTTCAGTTTGGTCTTACTTTAGCGTCTCGGCTAAGTAGAAGCTCTGCTGTACGTCGTCGTGGCTTGGCGTCTTGGCGTAGACGTCTCTGACGCCGCTGTAGCCCCCTTCTAATCTGCAGTGCTGCTCCAAGGCCTGAATGAGACGCACAGATAAAAGAGAACACTTTAAATATCACTGAACCCTCGAGCAGGTTATTTTTTTTTTAATACTGACTGAGCTGAATAAACTCTTCCTCACTTTAAAGAAAATATCTTTTTTTTTTTTTTTTTTACCTTTATTTAATCAGGAAAAAATATCCCATTGAGATTAAAAAACTCTTTTTCAATTGAATCCTGGCTAAGAGGCAGCAAAGTTACATAATAAACAGAGATACATTAAATTAAATGACAGGTACATAAAAAACATATCAAGTAAAACAATTACAGATCATTGAGACTGCTTTAAATACTTTCACTTTCAACTTAAAAGCATTTAAAGATAAAAACTTAGTCAACTTCCAGTTTCTTTGTAACAAATTCCCTGCACAAGGAGCTGCGTAGCTAAAGGCTTTCTGCCCTAGTTCTGGGCAGGCAAAAGGAACAGTGAGCAACATCTGATGGTTGGATCTCAGGGCAGAAGAAGCCATGCTTTTCTTTGTAAGTAAGGTACAAATGTAAGAGGGCAGTAATCCAAGAAGGGCCTAACCCTGTACCTAACCCTAACCCACCTGAGAGTACAGGTCACAGTGATGTCATGGCTCTACAGTTTGTGATGAACCATAATGAAGGATGGTAAACAGAGTCCAACATTTGAAGACATGAAGAAGTAGCATTGTTATAAAAAAGGTCACCATAAAAGTCTTAAAATAGTATGGGAAAGAGATTTGGGTTGCATTTTTGAAAATGGAATATGGGACTATTGTTTCTGAAAGCAGGCGTTATATAAGAGAGGCCAAACGGAAATTTATTCAATATAAAATTTTGAACAGGTATTATCTTAAACCAGTAAGAGTGCATAAGATGGATATTAGCAAAGATGACTTATGCTGGAAATGCCAAAGAGCAAGAGGCACATTGCTGCATGCTTTGTGGGAATGTCCGCTGATCTCTCCAATATGGAATAGTGTTATAAAATACATGGAGGGATGGTTAAAGAGTAAACTGCCTATTTCACCAAGACTGTCCCTGTTGGGGGACAGAGGTTTGGTCCCAGGTGTCCATAAAGCAGCTTTCAGAGTACTGAACACTGGATTTGTTACCTGTGCCCGTCTCATTTTGACTCTATGGAAGATACCACAGACTCCAGCTTTCAAAACATGGAGAGTGAATGACTGAAAATACA